GTGCTAACCTTGTCTCTCTCTTTTCCAGCTCTTCCAGGTCATGAAGTCAGCAGTTTAACACAAGAGATGCCCACACTTCCCATTCCCCGGCCACCTTCTCCTGCTCTTCTGTGAGGACACCGGCCCAGCCAAGAGATAATCTCTTCAACATGGTTCAGCATTGGCGTCTCCTCCCGGTTGAACAAAGAAACATTTTAAGCTGTTTTATTAAGAGAATTATTTATTTACGTGAAAATAGATACAAAGAACCTAAGTATTTTACACTGCTTATAGTAAAAGTCAAAGATTAGGGTGAATCTTGTTTTGGTAGCTCCTCTGTAGCTGCCTGTTCGGGAACTTTAACTTTAAACTTTAAGCCTGAAAGTAGTTAAAATGATTTAACATTTCTCTGTTTTCTATGAAAATAACTTATATTTTCTCATCTTTTGTTCTCCTTTTACAGTATAGGAGTGTGGCACAGCGGGCAGCAGTTATATTTGCTGATTTCTTGATCATGAGCACAGTGTTTGCACACACTGCAAATCCAACAACTGTACTCCTGGACAGGCAGACCAGTTACAATGCAAGTGCGAAATCTTTCCTCCATCCTGACAAAATAAGGAGAAAAAAAACAAAAGACAGAAAGCTGCTTCAGGTCATACTGTCATCAAAACAAGGCAACAGTAAAAAGGGCTACAAAGGAAAGACCAGAAGTTTTGCAGAGGCCACTGATTCCTGCATTCGGTACTCCATTTTAAATGTGTTTAACTTTGGTTCTGGTTTTGAGTCGTGGCTGTTTTCTCGTTTTGTAGTTCTAGATTTAGTTTATTTCATAAACCTAACAAGATGAATCACAACACAACATTTGGGGCTAATAGCTGCAGTTCCTCCAATGACCACTAGTCCTCACAGACTTCCCTTGTTGGTTACTTTGCAGTAATTACAAGGTAACTGTATCTGTTCATTGCACTGCACTGCTTAGAGATGAAGCTTGCTAATCAACTAACCAGCTACAAACTTTACACTCCACCATGTCTTTCAACTATCATCGCCAAAATCAACATAACAGTAAAATAAAATAAAAAACGTTTACATCTAGACATCATTTTTACAACTTTGGGAGATGACGCTGCTCTCAGTTTGATGATAGAGTTTGAAGTTAATTAGCGATAAATCTCACCCTTCTGATGATGCGTTCCACTCGATCATGCGACTGTCCTTTGGGCTGTGCTTCGTAAAGATCTCCAAGGCCAGATCCTCATAGGCCTGCCGCTGTTCAGGATCAAGACTCTCCAGGGATTCCAGCTTAATAAAGGCCTGTGAGCAGGTGCCAAAGGCGCGGTTGGCTGCAGAGCAGACAGCAAGCAGAGAATAGATGTCCACAGGAGGGATCACGTCCTCATACTCACGCAGGTGAAGAGCTTAAAAAAAACAAAACAAAACAAAAAAAAATCAATTAATAATAAATAGTGAAAAGTCAGGCTTATGCTGAGTATAGGACAAGTGAAATTACAAAACCGCCAAAGACCAAAAGGTATGTAAATGAAAAAATAAAATTGATCATTTTCCAAGGCACTGATCTGCGATCGTTCCTTCATAAATCGAGGCTAAGTGTCTTCACTGCAGCTGATGATTAATGTTAAATTTAGAAGAAGGATGACGGTTAACCAAAAGAACTTTTTGCATATCTGGTAAAAATATGCTTATCTATGCAAAGAATGTTTACACTGTAGACATACGACCATTCAGCTCCATGTCAAGATCTATAAAAGGCCAGCAGACGTAACCAGGAAAATGATTTGCAAAAGACAGCTGCATCTCTTTCCTTACTCTCTCCCGGTTGCTTACACCTTTCCTTTGACAGTCCATTGCATTGTGTGTAGAGAAGCATGTACTGTAGACACTTCACGTCTTGCTTAGAGAGAGAAGGGCAAGCCTTTGTGCACCTTTAGGGACACTGTGGCGAGAGCATAAAGGTCTATAGGTAAGGGTGACAGAGAGAAGGTGAGTTCTGTAAAAACTCATTCCTGTTTTTTTATAATATTGCTGCTTTTGATGGCTGTTCCTCATGCCAACTGGGAATCTCCTGGCAACGCCCCATTGGCTATAATGAGATTTAGATTAACAGGGCAACATTTTAGCCTAATAAGCAGTCCTGAAATATGTTACACTAAATGAGAGAGTTTCTCAATTATGACCATTATTAAATAAGCAAATAATAACTACAGTTATTTTGGGTCACAATGGTGGTCCAAAAAAATCCAACAGAGGTAAAGGAAATGAGCTGTAAAGAAAAAAGCTGAAAAGGAAAATGGGAAAAATTTAACACGATGATTTTTTCATCACACCGCTGGAGCATATGGAAATGATAAAATAGACATTTGATTAATTGCTCAGCCCTAACACACCGTTTAAAAGACACAAAGAACAGTACAAAAGATGCAAAAATGCTCGTGTAGTCAAGAGAAAAATATTTTCACTGTCTCTCAATTTTGTACAGTTTAAGAATTCAGCAGATTAAAGCAGCAGAAACAGAAAAGCAGAAAGGTTTCTTGTTGGTTTTTTGTATTCGACTTACAGTACAAAATCAAGTTCATTTGCATCAGTTTTTTAAACAGAGAAGCAGAAAATTCTCACATTTTAGAGAGAAAAACAAAAAAGGTAAATCAATGTGTATATACTAGAATATAAAGTATGATTATATAATATAAGTAATATAATAAGTACTACAGGAGTGATTTGGCACCTGTGCGCATGGCATTCTCCAAGTAGCCATCGTACAGCTGCCTCTGAGCGAGCAGGAAGAAGTGATATGCCTCTGCTCCTCGCCAGGCATTGTCCACAATGCGATTGTCTGCAGATGTTGCATCTTCCTCCAGCAGGCTAGCAAGTGCATGCGTCGCCTAATTACAGACAAAGATGCACACAATGATATGAACACAAACCTCTGTACATAAACAGATGACGTCTTTCCACATAAGCACAAGAATGACTCTTTTTTTCTGAAACACATCACAAATAATTTATTCAAACAGTTACTGCAGAAAAATGTCTAATGCACTAGAAAGATTTGGAATAGTACGTGTGCACATGGTTTACCTCTGTCTTCTTTCCTTTGCCTTTGCTCTGCTGTGACGTCTTCACCTGCTTGTGGTAATTTTCCACTAGATGTGCTGCCAGCACGTAGAGCTTCTTCACCCTCAGAGGTCGTGTCCTTTTCTTTGCCTCCTCATCTGCTATCTGCAAACATAAGCTACACTTTCACAAATGTATTTTTCTTTCTCAGCAACCTACACTCAGTTGCGTAAAGTGACAAAGTGAAAACATGTTTTCAGAACTTTTGCAAATGTATTACATCAACAAGTATTATTTATTTGCTTTATTTCAAGTTTATACCAGGCCTATCTTCCCGATGTGATTTGTTCTGTGTCAACATAATTTGCAAAGCACTGACTAATCTTTCATGGAACGAACCAGAATCTTTATTTGTTAACTCTTTTCCCAAAAAGATTTGATGACCTCAATAAAAACGTGATCTGACAACTTTTAGTTTCTCTTTTTTTCCCCAAACGTAGCTGCACAAACAGAGACCACCCTCACTGACATCTCATGCAAACCCAGTCATTTTGTTTTATAAAAAAGCCTGAAATATGACAGGAACCATTCAGGAAATATCGTTAAGGGATGCTCCTAGTAGGCTTTCAAGGCGTAAAGAGTTAATACACTTTGGCAAACTTGAGGCAAGTTTGCCAGACTTGAGGCAAAGTGTGAGTAAAGGCATGGTACATTTAACTTTTTAAGGACTTTCTAATTTAAGTCTATATTAAATGTAGGACCTAACTTGTTAATGAAAACATACAGCAAAATAAAAATTATATATGTGTTTAAAACTAATCTATTGTGGTGGACCACTAGAGGGCTCCACTCACACCCAGTGTTGAGGAAGTGTGTTCCTGTGTTTTGTGGCGCGATATGTGCAGTTGATGTTGGAGAGGAATAAAGAAGGAGTGAGAAATTATATATGTGTTTAAAATTAATCTATAAAGCTGGTTTACATGAATAAGAATGTTGGCTTACCTTAAACATGAGTTTGGCTGCATCAAGAAAATGGTGAGCTTTTCGATACAGCTCCACTGCCTCCAGAGTTTTATTTTTCTCCAAAAGATGTGACGCATATTTTGAAAGGAGAGATTTAATCTCCTTCATATTGTGTGTCCTGGCAAGTTCCACTGCTTTGTTCCACTGCAGGAAAAACATTTAATACAAATTTAAAAAAAAATGTAAATATGTCTTTTTATTATCTTTTTCATGTGGGTGCGAGCTTCCTCCAGGTACTTCCTACTACTGTCAAACATTGTTCATGTTCATCAAGATAAGTAAATTAGTGTTTCCAAATTGCCTGTAAGTGTGAAAACGACCATTGGTTGTTTGTCTCTCTGTGTTGTCCCTCTGTGTACAATGCCTCCCAGCAGGGAGATTACAATAAGCTATTATTTCTGGGAAGTGCTGAGATTTTCAGTATGTATACCTATAGACTCTGTCACAAAAACAATGATCAGAACTGAATCTCTCACAGGCAAACATTTTTTGTTTTTGTAAATTTATGATTAAACCATAAAATAAAAAACTTTTAAGAGAAAATGGTCATTTAAAAATAATGTATTTCTATAATTATTATGAGAAATCACAGTTTTTAACATGAATCCATGTTAGAACTGCAACTAATATCCCGAACCCAATGGGCATTACTCGAATGTAACACTGCTGTTCTTAATTATCTCGTCACAAAAGCAACAGCAGTGTGTCGTGACGGGTTTGGAGAGCAGATCTGGACAATTTAGGCACAAACACTGTGTTTTTCAGAGATCTGGGGTCTAAGACAACAAGATGGTTACAGGCAAAGTAGCTGACAGCTGGCCTGTTTTGTTGTCAAATGTGCAGCATTAACACAGCAGGAGAAACCGCCCTTAAGGAAGGAAGCTGGGGCTCCTAATGACATATTCTTTTAGAAGAAGAGACCGCCAATAAATCACAGATTTAACATCCTTTAAACTAAATCTACCTGTAAGACAGCTCCATCCTTGGTTTTTCAGGTGTCGTTCCTATTTTCCTGGGCCAACATTTACACTGGAAGAGTCCAGTGACTTTGAGATAAGCATTCACACCCCTGAGCTAAATATCACTCAGGCATAGGTTGGGAGTGGGAGGACAGCAGGAGGCTCACTGACTGTAAATCACTCAGCGTTGCTCAGAAATTGTGGCGCCAAAGTTTTTCTTTCCACCTCTCACCTGGTTCAGATGGACACACGTATCGACGGCAGCTTTGGGCTGGTTGCACTTCTGGTAGGCGTTCACAGCCTTTTCACACATGCCCACTGTAGCAAACATCTGACCGATCTCCTATAGCATAAATATAGAAAAGATGTGGAAGAGTGATTGTGATTTAAGGTAACATATTTAAAGAAACTGGCACCGTACATCTATATACATTTATATATATTTGATCCAAGAGTGTCTGATTCACCGGTAACAGCTTATGATTCTCTGGCAGAGCGGCGGTCAAACGTTCAAGGCCATCGTAGTCCTCTAGCATGTAGTAGCATTCGGCGAGTCTCTCCTGGTTACGACCCTTAATATAGTACTGCACAGCACTGACCCTTGAAAATAAATCATATTTAAAGTTTTAAAAAAAAAAAAAGGGGGAAAAAGCTGCGGCTGTTCTCTGCACTTCTCTCCCAATCCAGCTGATCCATTTTGCCAACCAAGAGTTCGAGTGCTTCAGATTAAATCAAATGTTTTCCCAACAATTTTCTCCAACAAGGAGTGTACTTGGTTAACGAGATAAAAATGCTTAACGAAACATAAAAGATGTGAAAATATTAGACAGTCTCCTGCACAGAAGTAAACAATCAGCTGACAATCAATCTGAAAGTGAAACAATAGTCACTACATGCCAGTTCAGTCAGCTCTTAAATCCAGTGTTCTCCGAGTGAGACTGAGCCAGCTGTTCAGACTGACAGACAAATCTGATGACTGTATGACAGGAGCACATAATCTCTAAAATGAATAATCACAAACAACAGAGGTCAGAGCCACAATTTGAGGTCTAACAACTGATGACCAGATATACACCTCTCCTCATGGCTGGCATACAGGAGCAGTCGACGCAGACCCTCTCATCTCGTTGCCTCCATGATTGTCTCCATTTTTATTTCGAGTAATGTCTTCCTCAATTACATTCTGTTCAGGATCAGATTGAAAAGGCCTAACATAACATCTTAGCAGCCACTTCATTATTAACATGAAGTGGCTGCATATGTGTTAAAAGTTGTCTGCAGGTATCCAGAGGCACTCGGTTACACAGGACACCTCTAGTTTGCATAAAGTAGCCTGAAGTTCAACTTTCTTCAACTGAGAACTGGCCACCTCATCCTATCCGTACAAATGAATGCACTGTAGATCTGATTTGATAGACTATAAAGGATGAAGGATGAAAATGACAGATTCTGTGGGCATGTATCATAAAGTTAAAAAATGAAAAAATGAAACCAGTAACACTTGAAGATTAGATTGTAAAAAGTAACATTTTACACTGAGTAAAACTAAGAGAATCAACAACCTCAGAAAGAAGGGGTGAATAAAACTTCAATACCACTTCTGTCTGTCAGCAAAGTAGTCTCCGATGGCATTGTTGGCTTGTTCAAGCAGAGCATCATCACTGTCCCCAGAACCACTTTTGAGCAGGGCCAACACTTTGAACCAGTCTCCAAGCTTGATTCTGAGACTGATAGCGAGATCCCTGCAGTGACAGATATGGTCATTTTGCACCATATTTCACAGGATGGGGGAAGAAATATGTACTGGAGCAACATTAATAATTCACTTCACTACAGGAAATTTAAATGGGAGGTAGTAGGGAGATTTTTTTTGGATACCAGAAAAAGCCACTGTACCTGCGATCCATTTCCAGGTACATGCGTTCAGCTTCCTCAAACCTGCTAAAGTAAGCCGCCACTTCAGCCTGCTTCATTGGCTCGCTCTGCAAGTTTCCCAGGCGCTTGACAAACTCAATGCCCTGATAGTCTTTGCAACGGACAAAAGCCTGCTCAGCCGTCTTAAGGTCCAGTTTCTGGAGGGCTGCCTCAGCAAGCAGACGCCTGGCAGATTTAGAAAGGAGAGTGTTCTTTGGCTTACAGAAATAATGTAGCACCAAAACATGCAAAGAAAATTTAATCACTGCAAAAGGAAATTGTAGGAAATTGTAGCAGAACACTGAAAGAATGAAAAGGATAAAATAAAGACTTGATTACTACATATATATATATATTTAAAAAAAAAAACAATATTGAATTAAGAACAGAGGTGGAAAGTTTTTTAATTACCAAAGTCTTGGATGAGGATTGTCTTCAATGAACTGCGAAGCTTCTTCAATGCCCACTTTTTCAATCAGTGCCCGGCTGTCTCTCAGGGAGCGGATTTCAAAGTTGATGAGGTTGTCTTTGTTTGGTCTCTCTGGATCCTGTAATGGAATATTCCTTATTTAAATGATAATTAAGAATAGCAGTGTCAAATATTTTATTTTGAAATTTCAGTCGTTGGGGCCATGGCATAGTCAATAATTCAGGTGATTGCCAAGGTCACAGTGTCAGACTGCTGTTGGTCAGTCTGACCAGAACCTGCAGCAGTTAAGAGTAATGGTCTGTGCAGTTTGCAGAGCAAGTGAGAACTACTGTCACAGCTCCTACGCAGGACGATTGAACTGTAGACTGAGTGCAGGATGAGGAACTCGCTGGAAAAGCAGCTGAATGATGTGGAGACGTGTTAAAAACCGACCTGTCCGAGTGGGCTGAGCTGAGTCAAGATTAGCTAGCTAGCACTGAACTTTCCAAATAAAATGCCTACATATTCACCCTTAACATCTTATAGTCTTTCAAAAACAGACTATAAGATGTTTTTACTTGTGTAAAGATAGTCAAAAATAAATATGACTGCATTACATATTATATTTGGGCTTCATGCAACTTGTTTCAGACATTTACCTTCATGATTTCATCAAGTAAGACAGATTTGATTTCCAGATCTTCAAAGTTGCAGATGTATCCAGATGTTTGGATGGGTTCCTGTTTTTTAAATAAACAAATTACCCTCACTAAGAATAACATTAATGTTAGTGCAGTCTAAGTTGGAGCTGTACATCAGGCATACTACTTAAGGACTCACCTCTGGGTCTAAGTTTCTAAAAACATACATCCTGGTCTTCTCCATCATAGCAAACAGATCAGGGTTATCATTCGCCCACTTCATGTCCCAAACATCTTTGCGCTCAAACTTAGATGGATCTCCTGTGGATGGCTGGTTTCCTGTCCCATTATCTGTGGAAGTGTGAACTTCCAGATCCAACAGAGTCATAATGCCCGCGATGTCGATTATGGCCAGACGACTGAAGAAAAATAAGCATTATACACGACGACATTAGACTCAAAAATACAACCTAAAATTACTCAGTAAAGCACACCTGTTACTGGTGCTAATCTGTAACACCATAAAGCACCAACACTTACCTTGAGTTGCAGTTTAGGGAGAGATAATGGGCTCTGTTGTTCAAAGTGTACTTCTGGACGAGAACAACATTTGGGAGACTGTATCTGTGGAGGGTGCCAGACTCACGACCCTGTGAAGACGTACACACAGTTATTTTACTCTTGATTCCATTATATGGTCCATTGCATAGGTTTGTACATACCACAATCAGGGTCTTATCTGTAGCTGTAATGGAACAGATGGGATCTCGAGTTGCCTGAAATAAAACAAAAGTGCACATACACAACGTGAGAATCACAAGAATCCATCTTACTTTAAATTATAAAAAATATCCTTTTCTCACCAGTCAGTAGTTAAATAAGTACTTTTAAAGCCATTTATCTGTATATTTTAATTGCATTAACAGAAACACTTGAGAGTTCAGAGATAAGAGTGTTTAATTTGAATGTAATCAGATAAGAAGTGTTAAGTTTAGAACAGAAGAAGTGTCACTTTATTGAAATGTAAGACAGGAGATACACAACGTTCTTACTGTGAAGGCCTTTGTGAAATCTGGGCTGGTGTCACTAGCTCCAGATGGAGTGCTGTCGATGTGATAGACCCTGGAGGTGCAGGAAGTCAGAACACATGAGAAGGAGCCACAGAGACAGACAGCCAGACAGGCAAACAGCTTCTAGTTCACCTGACGTGGCTTGTAATCCAGGTGTTAGGATAGATCTGGCAGAACATTAGTTCACACCAAGCCGCCGGTCTGGAAACTTACATGAATGAAGCCTTTTTATTGCACTGTCATTATCAAGTCTCACACAGAAACAGTGAGACAGTAAACCTGTGGTTTCATCCACTGGCTCACAGATTCTAACACTGTGGTGACCTGGCCTTCCCGTATCTTTCCATGATTTACTATCTGGCTAATACCTGGCTTTGTTCTATACCCGTCCAGTCCTTGTGACCAGTTTGCAACATGTGAGCTCACCTTTCCCTTCCCTCCTTCTTTGTTCTTGTCACTTGGTTGATCTCCAGGGCGGTCAGTTTTTTTGCCACTCTATACTGCCACATGTAGAAAGCTTCTTTGGATGCAGCGATAACGTGGGTTTTAGTCATGGTAACAAACATTGGATCTGAAGAAATAAAAAAGTGAGCATCACATGAGGGAGAAGATTAAAATATATAACAGCATGGGACTGTGTGAATCTAACAGTGCCAGCTCTGAAAAGATCAAAGCTTCTCTATGGTTAAAACATCAGGATCTCAATATGTAAAAGCATGCTGTGCCCTTGAGAGGACCCTCATTTCATACAGATGCTCAAGGTTATTGTGGGTGACAGCAGTAATCTCACAGCACACCTTGAACATTTTCTGCAAATTAAATTTTGTGGAGAAATTCTCAAACAGTCTCCTGACCTACTGTTTGACACACCCTTCATTTAACGCTGTTTATCAAGTTGGGATATGCAAAGCCCACTGAGCAACATAAAGACAGCCAGTGTTCAGTGCTAAAGGAAACTGGGTGGCTGGAGGTAGGATGTAAGCTATGTCTCTATGAATGTGGTGTGATCTCTCACACTGACATAAAGACAAACAGTGGCCTTAATCATACCAATGCTGCACCACAAGTATTTCTCATCATATGAAACTCACCGATGTCTATGTATTTTGAGTCAAGTGGTGTCCCGATGGAGTTGAACAAAATCAGGACATACTGAAAAACACAAAATGGAGTGACATTATCCTGCAGGTCAATTTAAAACTTTATGTCATAACAAATTGTCCTCTTTTTTGGGGGTGTGAGCTTTTAAATTGTACATTACCCTCCCATGACTCGCAGATTCTACCTCAGCATCCTCCTGTGTGGCGACGGATTAGAAAAAACAGGAGGCAAAACAGCAGAGAAACATTTGTGATCCTCACACTAGTCCAAATCCACTATTTTTATTACCTCTGTTGCTGGATTTCTGGAACTCTACAACTATGGCTGGGCGATATATTGATTTTTAAAAGATATAGCAACATAATTTCATAGCAATGTAAAGAATCACCAGTGCTTGTATCCAACTCTCAAAACCTGAAGTTCTGGTCCAACAACAAATAATAACTTAAAACGAGGTTTTGCAGTTGGAGCACACTGAGAAGGAAATTACTCTTCAAAGCCAAGGAATTAAAAACAATCATTTTTAACGCTCAGAAAATGGCATGTGCCTTATTCATGTTTAAACCCTGGCCACATTTGCAAACTGTAAAGTTGGTAACTTTGTGCACCAATACTCTACACAACACATTTTAATTATCTTTATCTTAGTTACACTGCATAAAAACTTAAAAACAACAATTAATAAATAAAAACAGAAATAACAAAGTAACAAAAGAAAATTTTTGTTTTCATACATTCTCATTACATCTGACATTTATTGAATCTACATGAGTTCTATTAGAGAAGTTAACTTAATGTTAACCTGTCTATGTTCAGAACTTAATTTACTTTAACTCATTCAGTATTCCTTATAGGGAATGCAATGTGGAATGTGTAGTGTAAAATGATTTATGCTGTTTAGTTATATTTAAGTTTTTGTTAAAATATTTTTTTATGTCATTTTTAATTTTGTTAAAATAACTTAACTCTGGGTATAAATTAACTCTTTGTTTTGCGGCTCTTATAGTTAGATAATTTGTTAGCATTTGTTTCCCCCGTGTCTCTAAGTTCATCTAATGAGCCAGAATAAAATCTCCCTCTTTAGGTGAGTTTTGTCAAGTCTTGAGTGGTGAATGAATTAGTTTGGCTTCTTATGGGCTCTGAACTTGCTTTGTTTTTATGATTTCTTGGGTAAAAGGAAAATCATTTGTTTCAAAATTACCCTATGTTCCTCATTCCAAATAGCTTGTTCTCTCAAAAAATCATTAGTTTGGTACTGAAGTAAATCACACAAACTGACAAAAATTGACAAACTAATTAATCAAACAAGGCTACAGCACACTTACAGCTCCCAAATGTTTTCCTTTGACAGAGACTGTCAGCGGAGTGCCATCAGTCCTGTCTGATGGCATGTAAAGCCATGAAAATGTTCTAGATATAGCATTCGCATAAACCCTCTCTCTCTCTCTCTCTCTCTCTCTCTCTCTCTCGCTATCCAACCATCCATCTAATTTTGGTCCATATCGCCCAGCCCTTCAGTATGAACCTCAAAGATACTTTTTGTAAATTCTTGTGTTTAAGAATTATTTTTAAACTTTCAAAAATAACAAAAATTATCAGCACAATTTAAAGAAATAATATCATATAGTAAAGTCATAGATCTATGACTTTACTTCCAAAATGTGCGTGGTGTGTTGAAGAGATAAACTAGTTAAACTAGGGCTGTATTTTTCCAAATAGCACCAGAAGACAGAATTAGCACTGTAAGTCTGTGGAACCTTTATTTAACATATTCTTATTTGCAGTGGTGGCCAAGGAAGAGGCAAAGCTTGGTGAGAAGCTAAAAAGTAATATCAAAAGTTACACTGTAGCACAAATCAGAGAGCAGAACACACCCACTTGTAAAACGCGTCCCCCTGGTGGCACATTTTTCAGTAAAATTCTGCAGAGGGTAATTACAAAAAGTACCTTTAAAGTCATACAGAGTAGTAATTTGTGTATTAAAGTAGTCTGTAGTGTTTGAAAACAGCAGAGATCTGTCAGTATTTTGGTTGCTTCTACTATCACTTTAAGGTCATGTAATCTATAGGTGCTCATACCTGAGGCTGGGTGTCATCTGCCTTGCTAGCCAGGATGCAGAAGTCCCCAGAGGTGGTGATGGACATCAAGCTTTTGACATACTTGACAAACTTCTCATTGTTTTTAGTGTCCCAGAATACCACGCAGTATTCTTGGCGTTCCGGCTTTGTGTAGGCGTACACCACCGTGCTGCAGCAGTAGCCCCACTGTTACAAGACAGAAAAAGGGTGGATAGATACAGCTTAACCCAGACATATGATCATAGATTGCTTAGCTCTACTGTTTTAGCTATCAAAGCAGATTAAACCTTCCAAACAATGATAAACCTAGAGATTTACCACCATGTTCACCAGGGCAAAAGACATTTTTCATGAATCACATGTGTTGGCATGCACCTTATAATCTGGTCTAATGTTGGCAAAGTAGATAAAGGACTCCACAGCCAGGGCAATGCGCAGCCCTCCTCCCTCCCAAGCAACTCCTGACATCTGCTTCCCAGGCACTTTGAGAGTTCTAAGATGCTGCACAGACAAAGAAGGTCATTAACGAAAAAAATGTCACACAACTTTTTAATATCACTTCAACTAACCAAACCTGTGAAGTACAAACATCCAAAGAGTTCTTCTCAGTAATCACAATGGTTTCAGTCCAAAATGTGCACAAAGTTAAAAGACAGTGTTTGGCTGTCTTTAAGAACACTGTCTATCCATTTTCTGACACTTATTTCAAAGATATCCAGACTTTATTCTTTAGTAACTACCAACAGTGGTCAAAGGTGACAGCAGAAGTACATTTTAACTCTCCTCACCAAAACAGACTGATACAGCATCCACATCCACAATGCTGATGCTGCACCGATCCATCTCTCAAGCTCTTGCTGGCTTGTACTTGTGGGTGGAGTCCAACACCCACTGGGACTGACTAATAGACTGCACTACTGCTTCCCTGGAATCGTCCCTGTACATCTATATCCAGAGCTTGGTTTGCATTGCTGACAAGCAAGTGAAAACAAACAAAACAAAAAACAACAACAACAATAAAAAGAAAATTGCTGTTCTAATTCTACTGTCTAGAGACTTGCAGGAAGACTGTTATCTTTATAAACTGACCCTCTCATCAGACCTGTGGAATATGAAATGCCCATTTTTGTATATGAATAAGAGTGGTTTTTCATGTTTTTCATGTTTTTTAAGTTTCAGTGTTTCAACTGTAAACTTATTTTCTTGAAATGACCCATCCGTCCCCTACACAAAGCTAGCTTAAAAGAAAAAAGTGTGCATTTGTAGGAGAGATGGTTGAAGACAAACTAATTTGGTGTAGTGGGTTTGTTTGCTTGTTGCTGCAGAGTAAAATCTTCTTTATCGATTAAATCCGTTCTATGGTACAGACTCTCCTCAGTGCTGAGATCATGCTGATATTGTTGCCCTTTCGCAGATTACTGAGGATTACTGATTATTGTACTAAGCAGTACAAAATGTGTTGTAAGTCTAGATAAAATTATGTAAGTCAAAAATCAGGCTCCTCTGATCAGTGAACTTTGCTCCAAGATTTTCAACAATATCAGGTCCCCATGCATGCTTAACCTGGATCCAAATGACAGTACTAGATGGTATATAGAACAGCAAAATCCCATCTTATATCAAAGCCATAATGCTCACCTCTCCAAACGGAGTGTAGAACTGCACCACATTGAACTCTTTCTCCATTGCACCTCGAAGGGAACCGGCCACTGCCAGCACACTGCCACAGTGGTTCCACTGGATACTGACCACATTCATCAGAGTATCAATGCACACTGGGTCTGAAGAAAAGGGGTATGGGGACCAAAAAAAAGAACTGTAAAAAGGTTTAATTTAACACGAGTGACGAACTTTGAAATTACATTTTGTTTTTGTGGCTTACTTTCGTCGCTTTCATAACGCATGATCTGACACCTTCCATTGTCAAAACAGATGGCGAGACATGGACAGTCTGGCTCGACGTAACCCCCGCTTCCTGCATACCAGTGGATACCTGCTATACTGACAGCTCCAGTCACATTGGCAAGACAGCTGATGGTCATTTTCATCTGAAAGCCAACACGGGTCAGTAAGAGTTAGCATATATCCTTCCTCTGCTTGAGTCACAGTGAAGGAAAATTTAAAAAAAAATATTATAGTTGCATTATTTAATACTTTTATATGCACTTGTTTTATATCGAGTCTCAGCTGGCTTTCATGTTTATTTATGGTCATGCTAGTTTCTGTCATACTTTATCACAGTGGAATAGAGGCGGAGATGGGGATGGAAACAATTAAGGTAGCTAGAAAACTAGAGTTTATGACAATTCATTAACCTGCTCAACTATAAGGAACTATAACTATAAGAAAAAACAGCATTATGTTCAACTCTGAATCATGCAAAGCTATTCTAGTAGCATACAGAATAAACTGTTTTTAAGCTTACAAACTTACTATGAAGTTTCCTTGATTGTCATAGATGTGTACTTCACCATTTGCCATGCCGAAGAGGAGTATCTTGCTGTCCGGCGACCATGCCACATGAGCAAGCTGGCTTCCCTTTAGCTCCTTACCCCAAATCCGATTTCCTTAAGAGATAAGGATATATAATAAAGGATATATTCATATTTACATAGTCAGAAAATTCCACAAATATTATTTTTGTTAAGTAAGCAGCAGTTTACCATCTACAGATCCAACGATGACAGCCCCATCTTCATACACAATACAGATCTTTTGACCATCTGCATTCCAGCTCATGCTCCTCACTACTGACTTGTTCCTGTTGTTGATCATCTCTTCATACCATGCACCTTAATAGACCAAAAAAAAAAAGTTAAAGACATGTTTTTTTTTGTTTGTTTTTTTACCTGTTTCTGTATTTTGCCTGCATGCAGTAATGATCAAATAATGCTAATAAAGAAAAGAACTAAGGACATACTTACTCTGTCCTGCATGTGGTTACCATTGGGTTATGCTGTACCCAGACACAGAGTGAATGTACGTAATTGAGCATGACCGCCTGACAACTTGGGCTTGGCCCAGCGCAAAAGACGGACGACCTCATTCTCCTGTGGATCCACCACCCATAGGATGGGGCATAGGTATCTGATGCCATGTCGACTGGGTCACACCCAAGGTCAATGTCAGGGTCAGAGGCTCTAATGGCTCGCTCCCCAATTACTAAAACTGCTTATAAGGACATTAAATCTCACCTATCTGATGAGGAAGGAACCTGAGCTACTGTATGAGTTCGAAACCAAGTGTGAACCAGATTGTGGAAGGAGCCCTATGAAGCTTGTGGGATTCTGAAGGAAGTAACCTTGAAGACACTGGCAGGATGTGGGTTGCAATGGGCTGTGAGATCAACTTCTAACGCATATGGATCAGTATTTAAAGTTTTACTCTCATCATCCACTGGAGCACAAACTGGGTGTCATCAGGACACTACAACACAGATACAGCGGTCAGAGAAGCAGAAGAACATCATATCAAGAGGGCCCTGAGTAAATGTGCTTATCCCAGCTGGATATTTGTCAAAGCTGGGAAGGAACCTAAAGAAAGCTCCGAGCAATCCAGGAGAGAAGAAAGACAACTGCTGCCCAATCGAAAATCGTTAGTGATCTCTTATGTGTCTGGAGTATCAGAACAGCTGAGACACATTTTCTCTAAACACCGTGTCTCTGTGGCTTTCAAACCCCAAAACATGCTGTGTCAAAAACTGGTCCACCCCAAAGATCGGGTTCCCCGGCACAAACAGAGTAATTCAGTGTGCGCTGTGAAGTCCCAGGAGGATTGTCATGATTTAAACATCGGGGAAACCAGACAATCTCTGGCTCAGTGGATGGCACAACACAGACGAGCTAACTCCTCAGGCCAGGACAATGATGAGGATGTACACATCCTGGACAGGGAGGAACGCTGGTTTGAGCGGGTAGTCAAGGAGGCCATTTACATAAAAAGGGAAAGACCATTTCTGAATCGATGGGAGGCCCTGAGGGTGCGTCTTTCACCATCTTACAATGCTTTAATCGAAGGTACTACCCAACTCTCTGTGAATGGTACTCATGGCCACTGATCTCGACAATTTGCATATTAATGATCAAGAAACTGACCTCACAGTCCTTTGTATGTCAGTGGTGCTAGTTTCAGTCATTATGCAAATGTACTGTTTACAAGCCTGGGGAAACCTGCAGCCAGCTGCGACTGAAGAAGTCACTTAGATGAGTGATAAAACGTTTCTCCTACTGAAGACGCTAGATCAACATGAACAGAATCAACACTTGGCTAGCTTGGGAACGCCTGAGTCTTCTCCTGGAAGAGCTTTAGCATGTGGTCAGGGAAAGGGAGGTCTGGGTGTCTCTGCTTATACTGCTGCACCAGGAGCAGCAGTGCAAGATGGATGGAATAATCACCTCTATAAAGCATCCACACAATGATGAGTCCATTCTGATCACTGGTCGTCAGCTTTTCATGCTGTTCATTCCATGTGACCACTTGCACTGCACCTGCATGGGAGGCAGTAATTGAATATTAGATCATTTTCTGACGTCTCATTTTAGAATTGTGAATACTAATATCCTATAACTAAAACTGGCCATAAAATACTTAATACAAAATAACTCACCACTGTGTCCCTCTAAAGTCTGGTTCATTGAAAGGTTACTGGGTGCAGCAAGACCTTTAAGTTTAGCATCATCTGTTTACAAAGGGCGGTAAAAGAGATCAGATCATCACCAAGTAACTGTAGTTCCAGAGGTGTTTATAATGGTTAGCAAATATACAATCATGTTTCCCAAAAAAGGTTTGGACAAGTAAATATGAAAGTAATGATTTAAAAATCATGCAAAAAGATCTATGAAGAAAATAAGACATAAGACGCTGAAAGAAACTGATAAAATTTTGTTTGTTTTTTCTTTTGTTTTTTCTCTCTTTTTTTTTTACTTGCAACCTGTTTAGGATATACCTAGTCTCTTGCCCTGTGAAAGTTGGTGTAGGTACACCAACTGACCCTGAATTGGATAATAAAATCACAATATTATTCAATAAATGTCCAAAGGTATAAATTAATAAAGAAAAATAAAACATAATTTAAAAAAAGGGCTTATAAAATGCAGCAGACAAAAAAACACTAATTTCATCAATCATTTCACACATTTTCTCAAACATTAAGAAACAGTGGCCCTAACTAACAACAGCAGGTTGACTGAACATAGCGGCACAAGAACTGAGCCAACAGTATTATGAAAGTGTAAAACGATTTCCAAGACGCTTTAAGAGCATTTCAAAATACCTTAAATCCGAATCACATTTGCATTACATAACAACTTGGACTGTAACAAATGCACACAGCTGAATGTATGGGATGTTATTCGTTATTGCGACATCAATATACTGTAATGCTACCAGTAACAAGCAGGTTGTTTATGCAAAATAGCTCTTAGGTACACCCATTAGGTAAACCTATTCAACTATCCTTTTACATAAACATATCATCAACCAATTAGACGGCAGCATCAATTAGTCAATTTAGTCATGTAGACAGGGTGAAGATAAATTGATGAAGGATGAATGGAACACCAAAATGGAAAAGAAAGATGATTAAAACTCCTTTGAGTGTGCCATGGTTTACTGAGACCCTGTAAAGCCAATCAAAAGGTGGGATGCTGTTTAAATTTTTAGTTTTGGAGGATAATCTTACATTAATTACCTTGCAGTCGCACATTAAAAAGAGGACACCTGGTCATCCTAATTGCACGTGTTTATAGTTGTTAACGTTAACGCAAATCATTGTTTACTCTTTCTCTAACCATCAACGGGTCTCTCTGAGGTGCAGGAAATCTTTCTGTGTGCATGCCTCTGTTAGTCGTGCACCTTTTTAACTATCTTACCTGTCTGAGTCTCCAGCTTCAGTACTCTCAGAAGACCATCGTCTCCTCCGCAAGCGATGAAGCCTTGATCTTTGTTCCAAGACACACATTTTAGATGGATATTATTGGGAATAGCGATCTGCAAGACACGGGAGATAACTGTTACCGAACACTACGTCCTCCTGGCGTACTTGTGGCCAGTGAGCTGTGTCAGATAACTGCGAACTTACCTTTTTGCTGAGGTATATAAACATGGTTGTGGCGATAATGTTACATTACACAAATAACAGGCACATTTAAATTTCCAGGCTCCAGCATTTGGTGAATGTGACGATTACTTTAGCATAGATTGCTGACTTAGCTAGTTAGCGGCTAGTGTTAAGTGGCCAATGGTAAACTGTTACCGTCAGCTAGAGACGTTCATAAAATCATGACTCACAAATTTAAAGATTCCCTGCAGATAAAGTACGTTAAATCAGCAAATATATTGGAAAACAGTTCAAAATCGATGTTTCGTAGCTAATGGTGGCTGCCTAGGGTGCTCAGAGCCTGTAGCTTCCCTCGGTCTCCCGTGGTAACGGTAAATCGGAAACTGGGAGACTCGGTGCTCCCTGGTAGTTGTAGTTTTTTTTATTAGCTGAGGCGAAAGGCATTGAACAGAGCTTCCAATCATGTTTGGTAATGTATTTTCTCATGTGCCCAAAAGATTATTCAAATACATTTAAATATTTAAGTTATTACATATTAAAAGACAAAAATATAACATTTCCTGATCATAGACTGTCTGATAATAATCTTTATCAGATAGTTAAAGTGTTAAAGTGAATGATAAATTTGTAAATAACACAATATAAGAAATTTTAAATCCTTTGTTTCAGAAAATTTATTTTTCATTTGCCACTAAATACCCTTTACAAAATCAATATACAGACAGTTAAGTACGAATATACATTATGTCATGCATATAGTCGTCTATTTAAACAGCACATGTATGTAGAGTAAGTCAGGTTTTTAAAACTTTTCCCGAAAACAGACTTTCATGGGCAAGTGTGCAAAGTACTGGAAGAGTTGGTAATACTTAAACTCTTTGAACTACTTTCCATCTCCTTCAAACAAAATAGTAATTACTAATCACATTTGTGCAAGCAAAACAATAATTATAATCATAATAAAAAGGTTATCAAACAATCCAGGTATCAAAGGGAGGGGTATAATAAATCGTTGTGATGTAACATGCCATAAGCCTGTTGAATCAGCCTTCATTTTTGGTCTTTTTTAGAATGCTGCAATCTGACGGACAACTATAAAACTCTTGTTACATAAGAGATTAGTTTATATTTTTCTGCTATGGAGGCTTAGTGTTCTGCCAAGAGCTACACTGCACGGACATAGAAAAGCTCTCAAAGTAGCGTATGCACAATAGGAAAGCAATAGGCTGTCTACTCAATACACAACAATTATAGAAGCAGAGATGTTTAGTTGACTACATGTTGATAAATAAGTTGTCATCCATATTTGAATAGGAACCCAGGTATATGTAAACATGTACACCAGTTTCACCTGACTTTACACCAAGAATTAAAAACAGATTAGGCAGCAAATAAAAAAAATCATATTTAATATGACAAAAATCAAAACCATGCCCACTTTCACTAAAATGTTAACATTCCAGTTTACAGATGTTTACAGGTTGACTCCCATGGGTCGTGAAGCTGGATGTAATGCATGCCCTGCACTTGTCCTCTGATGGTATTGATGCTCTTACTATTGCTGGTGGCTTTCAATCTGATTCACTTTGTCTGAGAGTTCATCGAGTGAGACACAGAGTCAAAGAAAAAGCAAGTTTTGACTTAACCTTGAAGTGACTGAGTGGGCTCTTTTGCATGGAAACATAATCCGTTTACATAAGAAGACAAAGTTGGTCCTGTTTTTATGAATTAACAACAAATCTTGTTCGAGATTTGAATACTCAGTTTCATAGGAGCAACATTAGCCTCCAACACTGGGAGATCCTTGTGTCTTTGAGTAGAACTTTTGAGTAGAACTGATGGTACTGTTTTTTATCATTTCTAGAAGAACATCAAGATATGGTACAATCACCAGTTAGTGGAACAAGGATATGGGACAGGTGTGTGAAATATATGAATATATATAAATGCTTTTTTAAAATTTATGCATTTGTGTTACTGAAACAATGAAATTTTGATTTAAAATTAAGTATTTGTATAAAAAAAAATATATCAGGATATTTAATGCCCCTGCTCAGTTTTTTCAATTGCTAAGATAGTTTGGCTCGGGCTGAGACACAAAGTAAAAACAGATATTTCTTTCATGCAGTTATCACATTTTTAAGAAAAAGGATATGCTTTCTGCTCAGCTCCTGAATGGTTGACTGTACTTTTTTCTGGAACACAATCTGAGCTTCACACATGCAGGCATCCTCGGTTATTTCACTCCTCATTTCCTCTGAAAGAGTAAAATAAAATTATTGAGACAGTCAAATGATATCACAGGTGTTTTTTCATGTCTTCTCAGCTCTCCACTTGTTTAAGGATCAACAGCAGCAACCAACATGTTTTAAACCTTTCAAAGAATCAGTGCTCAATAAGTAAACGGTTTTAAAGATTAATAAATCTTATGAATCTTAGATGTTATTTTTAATAAAAAGAGTTGGTGGTTATTAATAAGATGATATGCATCAGAAGAACCAACATGATTTGTCCTTTGTGAGGGAGATCAGATCATAAACATGGATTTCATGACATATAATCAATGCTTAAAGAAATACTATTCACATGTACAACATATATGTACTACAAATAGCAATGAAAAAAACAAACAAACAAGAAACAGTAATAACAGGTAATAACTCCAGTCAAAGATTTTTCTTTAGTTGGGCCAGAGTTCTCCATCACAAAATTTCCACTCCAGTTCCAGCATCTCATGTCATAATCTTTGCTGGACCAGCACATGTAATGCTTGCCACTGATCTTCGTTAGCTGTAGACTTTTCCACAAAATGAAGGATGCAAAATGAAAAACACAAAACATTAATACATAGATATCATTGGAAAAAATGTAAACTTAAATGGGAAGATTCAGTATTATAGGCTTAACCATGTTCCCATGCAGATACAATGGACTTTATTATAGACTGTATATAAAGGATGGCATGACATGTGCTGTTACTCATGGGTTTGACTGCTGATGTTTGATTGTTTGTTTGCTTAGGGGTTTGAGTTTTTTGTTTTTTGACAAATAAAGATGGAGGGCTGAGTTATTGGCTAATGCCATTAAGCTTGGTTAGTAGTCTACATCCATAAACTGTACAGGTCTGTACATTTCAGATTTTTCTTTATTCGTTTGGTCTGCATCACAAAGCACGTTATATCCTTTGTAGGTTAATTCAATTAAAATGCTCCAAAAGGCACCAACAGAACAAATACAGTCAACATGTTCAGTTCTATGACTCCAATTTGCGAGAGGTGAGCCTATCAAACACCACTATGCTACCGCTATGACCAACAAACATGAACAGCATCAATGACCAGAATTAACTGTTGGTCAGATGGAGGCAAGGATGTCTATGTTGCCACTGCATTATGTAAATTATCCTTAAGGCATATAACAAATATCACTCATGGCAATGCTTATGTTAAATAGCAATGTCCTCCCTACCCTCAGGTAAAGTGGGTGCTCAGATAGATGTGGTAGAACCTGTGGGATTTCCAATCACTCAGACACCAGGGATCACATAATAGGTATAAATGTTTGAGCTCATCCAGATTTTTACATACAAATTCCATTTAGGAAAATAGTGAAGCCTATAGACACTGTCAGAGAATATGACTGTAAATACAAATATAATACTGGCATCTCACCTTTGAGGGCTTACCAAAACCATGTGCCACATCTCTTAGTAAAACAATATTGCATATCCACCATATCAGTTGCACATTACAGAAAACCTAGGCTTGAAGATTTGTTGTTGACAAAAAGGTAAAATTCTTACGGGAACATGTTTTCTGGTCTGTATTCAACACATATCCTTCTCGACACTTGCATGTGTAAGAAACACCGTTGTTGATACAAATATGCTGGCAGTCATGTCCCTGAGCGCAAGCATCTGAACCTGCAACAATATTAATTGACTTGGTTATTCTGTCAAACGCAGCTTTGTTCTCATTCTCATAATACGAGGCATGGCTTAAAAAGTTACCCACTCCCACTCAGTTGGAGAGAAATCCATTTAAATTTGGCTGACCTCCTCTGAAGATTATCTTCTTATGCACCTCTTGTCAAATGCCACTGTTAAGTTTCGGTCACTCCCGTTCTGACGACATGCCAGATTGAATTTGCACTTTCAAAACGAACCTCAATGCACAGAGAGCAAACATCCAATTCTTTGTTAAACTGACCAGACTTTCATTTTGGGAATCATTACTGTTGATAAGAGCTGGCGCCTCTAAAACCCATCTCTTATTAACAACAGCGGAGGGTCTGCAGTATCAAAACCTACAGGCTTCAGGTTAATAGTACAACCATGAGGACTTTTGTTATTTTTCTGGCATTCACAGGGACATTCACAATGCCTGCCATTGTGCCAGCATGTACCCATGCACATTGGATTAAGAAGAAGGAGCCAATTCTTGCTCACCAAACAATTCTGCCAAATTAGTTCTCTGCAAATTTGTCCACTTCCTTACAATGTTATTCGAGTTAAAGCATCTCATGCTGCTTCTAGGTGTGTTTTACAGGCACCATCCAACCAAGAGGTGATACTAGTGAAGGCCCTTACAGCCTCTTGGTTGGTTTGAAACCTAACATATGTCACAGATGGGCTGGAGGCAGACCTGAGGTGCACAAGAAGATTACCTTAAAGCAGAAACTGTACAAATGTACATTCTTATGAGCTTTTTATGAGAGGTGTCACAGAAGTTTTTGATGACACATTAACATTAGGTCCCCCTGAATCATTTTTCTAGCATTATATATCATGTATAATGCTTTTGTTTTGTACCTTTCTTTCCAAGCTCCTTGGACTATAATACATTTGCTTCACAATTTCTTGAATCTTTATGGCATAACAAAATATTCTAAGAAATTTAAAAACAAATCTTTCTTACGTGAGCATGTTTTCTGATCCACGTTCAGCACATATCCCACTCGACATTTGCAGATGTATGAATTCCCACTATTAACACATATGTGCTGGCAGTCATGTCCCTGGGCACACGCATCTGAACTGGAACCTGAAAAGAAACACTCACCCCCTCAGCACCTCATGATAAAACAAATAATCAGTTGTCTGTATAAAGAATACTTGGTTAGGCCTCAATCACAAAGGCCTGGATACCAGTCAGTAGCCCACTGCCAACCACCAGTTACTATGGAAAAATGTGTGTTATCCGGCCAATTGGTGAATATTTCCTGACTGTTGCCAGATGAAATAAGAAAAAAAGATTGTGCTGCACCAAAAACCTTTGTGATTTGCTAGCCAACTGCCATGGTTGCCCACAGTCTGTATGAAAGATTTTGACCTGTCTGCAAACACTCCCTGTTTACTCTCCAAATTG